AACTCAGCAAATATTGTGATTGGTAAGGATCGAACCCATGAACCTCCGGCTCATATACAGCTTCATACACAGCCAACTGCTAGAAAGAAACATTATTCAGATTACCATCATCCTAACATTACATAACATCTATGAAATGTTGATTTAACGTTCAACATTTCGTGGCCTTTACAAAGGCCATTTTTTATTCTCAACGGTAAAGTTCCGCTTAAGCGGTTTTTCAGCTGTTTTTAACATTGGATACGTGAATTATCATTTGTTTTGTTATTTTTATTGACTGCAGTATTATAGGTATATGTAAATAAGACTCAGCAAATATTGTGATTGGTAAGGATCGAACCCATGAACCTCCGGCTCATATACAGCTTCATACACAGCCAACTGCTAGGAAGAAACATTATTCAGATTACCATCATCCTAACACTACATAACATCCATGAAATTTTGATTTAACGTTTTAAAATTTGGTGGCCTTTACAAAGGCCGTTTTTTATTCTCAACGGTAAAGATCCGCTTAAGCGGTTTTTGTGCTGTTAACAAGATGCTGCTAACATTGGATACGTGAATTATCATTTGATTCGCTTTTGTTATGGACTACAGCATGTAGAATTTTATAAAATTAAATAAAAATTTAATGTTTTTTTCTTGGATAATTATACACATTGCTTAGTGTATAATGGTTTTAATACTATGGTTTAATACTATCTATCTACGATTTAAATTTACATTTCTCTATCTAAAAATTAGTAATGTCTAAGAAGAATTGGTGGTCATTTGTAAAGTTTTGTTTAATGGCTATTACTAATACCTATTAATTTACATTAATCTAAAAAGTTATTGCAAACATTATATTTCTACAAATTTTCTTCTTCTTCTTCATCATCATCACGGTTCTGTAACAAAACAAGGAAGTGTTAATTGTGTGTATCCTGGTTGCTGATTGGTTGTAATAAGCTTGTACGTGATTGGTCATAAATAGGTAATCTGTTGTGTGATTGGTCAATTTTTGCTATTTATACTTTTCAGTACTAATTTTCTTTCACTTTGCTTTTGACAGTTGAATGTGTTGGATGTGTGCTCTTGTGTTTGACGTTTTGAGGTTATGTTTGCAAGTTATTTCTAGTGTTAATGTTAGTCTGATTATTTATTGTGTAGTACATCAGTTTTATAGTAAGTGAACATTGTTTCTTTTGTGTAACGTGTTGTGCAATCAGTGTGTTATATTAAGCTTTGTGTGCGCGCAGCTGTGCCCCCACCACATCTTGTGTCCCTGTGTTGTATTGTGCAATCCGTGTGCTATATTTAGCTGTGTGCCCCCACTAGAACTAGTGTATCTGTGTCCCTTTCACTTTGCTCTAGGCATCTGACTACGATGATTGTAAGTATGGCTGATAATGTATCCGATGAAGTAGTTGAACCCGTTAAAGTAGTTGAGCCTGTTACTTTGATTAGTACTGATCAAACTTATGTAAATAAATTTAGATTGTATGGAAGTAAAACAGTATTTAAATTCACTAATCCGCCTCCAGAGACTAATGAGATTGATTGGTTGAGACAAGGGTTTGCGCAACAGCAACGGGCTACGTACGCGGCTGCGGCGAAGTCGTCAACGGCACCGTCGGGCCGTCAACCGCGCCGGGTTGACCCGCCGGCTCCGAGACCTGACCCTGTGGACGAAGAGGCGCCTGGAGCTCCCGAGGTCGATGACGAGGGCTTCCGGACTCAGCGGAGGAGACGTCGTCGGGCTCCTCGAAACCCGGACAACCGTGGCGGAGCTACCGGCCCGAGACCCCGAACACCCACCCCTCCTGTGGAGCAGTCCGCCGCCCCGGCTGAGACCCCAAACCCTCGGGTGAGGCGAACTCCCCGCGCTCGCCTAGAAGTCCCTCCTCGCCAGCCCAGCGGCCCTGCCCGGCAGCCCAGCAGCCCAGCCTCGCAGCCCAGCAGCCCGGCCCCGCAGCCCAGCAGCCCTGCCCCGCAGCCCAGCAGCCCTGCCCAGCCCATCGAGCCGGCCTCAACCCCGGCCCAGTCGTCCAAGAGCCCGTCGCAGCAGTCTGAGCTGGCTCAACTCATCTCCACGCTGAGGAGCATGTTGGTCGTCGTCGAGCGACTTGTTGACCAGTTGACCCAACATCATGCGTAGACTTCGCATCCTCACGTGGAACGCCGACGGGCTTGCCGACAGACGCCATGAGCTGACACAACTCCTCACTGACATGGACGTTGACGTTGCCCTCATCCAGGAGACGCATCTGCGCGGTGGGGACAGGTTCAACGTCCGAAACTACTACACTCACCGGACAGACAGGCCTCTGCAACAACGTGCCAGTGGTGGCTCGGCGATACTGGTTCATCGTCGGGTCACCCACAGACCGATCGTCAGGAACCTCCCGCCTGGCATCGAGGTGACGACCATCGCCCTCCAGCACGACGGTGCAGAGCTGGAGATCTCCTCTGCCTACAACCCCCCAGGGAGACGCCTTGATCCCGGACTCCTGGACTTGCTGCTGCCCCCCGACACCCCGGCGCTTCTGGCAGGCGACCTCAATGCCAAACACCTGGACTGGGGTTGCAGGAGAGGAAACTTCACTGGAGCTGCTCTCAGGCGCTACCTCACCGCCCACCCTCACATCAACGTGGTTGCCCCGGCCGACCCCACACACTACTCCCGTGCTGGACACCCGCCCGACATCCTGGACATCGGACTGGCTGGCTCGTTCGATGGCCCGATTGAAGTCTTCGTCGTCTCCGACCTCTCTTCTGACCACGTCCCGGTGATCTTCGATCTGCCGCAGGGAGGAGTCCCCGACCGCCCTCCGGTCCGCAGGAAGAGGGTGAACTGGGCGAAGTTCGCCAACCTCCTGGCCAACGCCCCTCAGCCGCCTCCCCCGCCACCTGCGACCACGGAGGAGCTCGACCAGCAAGTCCTGGGCCTGACAACGCTGCTGCAGGACACTGTGGTTGCCGCCAGCTCTGACGCTGACCCGAGGGCCCCCCCCGCCACTTCCCCAGGGGCTGCGGGAGGAGATCGCCCTGCGACGTCGCCTGAGGAGGGCGTACCAACAGTCCCGCTGCCCTCGAGCGAAGGCGGACTTCAACCGGCAGGCTAGGAGGTGCTCCCGACTGCTGGCTGAGCATCGGTCCCAGGAGTGGGAGGACTTCGTCGAGGGCCAGGCAGACACCAATGACGGCATCTGGAAGATCGCCAAGGCTCTGCGCGGCACTAAGACCCACAACAGGCCGCTGCATGGGGGACGCGGGCTCGTCTACTCGCCCGAAGACCGTGCAGAGACCTTCGCAGACTCGCTAGAAGACCAATTTTCCCCACACCCAGACATCTACGACGAGGACTTCTGCGAGGTTGTGGACGACTTCGTAGAGACCTACGAGCCGGACTCCGACGAAGAAGACATCCCCCACGTGACCGTCAGCGAGGTGAAGGGCCACATCGCTCGACTCCGTCCGAAGAAGGCCCCTGGACCGGACTCCCTCGGGACTCCAGCACTGAAGAACCTGCCGGCTTGGGTGATTGTCGTGATCACCTGCCTCTTCAACTCCTGCGTGAGGCTGGCCCACTTCCCTGACACCTGGAAGTTGGCGAACGTCATCCTCATCCCCAAGCCCGGCAAGGACCACATCTTCCCCGAGAACCACAGGCCGATCTCCCTCCTGCCTGTGCTCTCCAAGATGCTGGAGCGGATCATCCTGGCGAGATTCCCCAAGGAGTTCTTCTCTTCGATCAGGACTGAGCAGTACGGCTTCAGGCGGGGCCACTCCACCACCCTCCAGCTGCGGCGGGTCCTCAACACCATCGCTGGAGCGATGGAACGGAAGCACCACTCGACCTCAGTCCTGATCGACGTGAGCAAAGCCTTCGACCGGGTCTGGCACGAGGGGCTTCTCTACAAGCTGGCGTCCTCCCCTCTACCCGGCTCGATCTACAGGATCATCAAGAGCTACCTGACCGCTCGCCGCTTCAGGGTCTCCGTTGGACGGGCGACCTCCACACCACGGCCAGTCTCTTCGGGTGTGCCACAGGGGTCGGTTCTCGGGCCGATACTCTACCTGTGGTACACCAATGACATACCCCTGGCGCCAAGAGTGCAGCTATCGCTCTACGCAGATGATGCGCTCTTCACTGCCACCTCCGCCAACCTGAGGATGTCCAGGGTGTATGTCCAGCGACAGCTGGACCTGTTGCTGCCGTGGCTGACAAAGTGGCGAGTCAAAGTCAACGCTGACAAGAGTGAGGCCATCTCCTTCACGAGGTCGAGGAGGCAGGACGATGGTCAACACCTCCACCTAGACGGGGCCGACATCCCATGGAAGCGCCGGGTGAAGTACCTCGGCGTCCTGCTGGATCAGCGACTCACCCTGACTCCCCACGTCGAGAGGGTCTGCGACCTCGCCAGGAAAGGTCTTGGCGCCATCCGCCCGCTGCTCAGGTCACGGAAGTTGTCAACGGCTGCAAGAGTCCGACTCTACACGGCCCTGCTTCGACCTGTCCTCACGTACGCAGCCCCTGCATGGTACCACCTCACCTGCAGAACCGCTAGACGGAGGCTGCTCGTCGTCCAGAGCAAGGCTCTTCGGCAGGCGACAGATTCACCCTGGTACGTGAGGAACTCCGTCATCAGGAACTCCACAGCAGTGACAACTCTCCGAGACTTCGTCGACGGCCTTCGAGCGAGACTTGAAGAGACGGCGGATGACTCTCCGTGGGAACACATCAGGGACCTGGTCGCTGAGGATGTTCCCCAGCTTCGCCCCCGGATCGACGACTAACTCCCAGAACGACGTTGACGTCTACAGGTAGCTGAGCTACCAGGGCTTGGACCCACAGCAGACGAGAAGTATATGCTCCTAGCGAGCAGGAGCTTCCCAAGACGTGGCGCTAGTCGCCACAGCCATATACACCTGGACCTGGCAAGTCAAGACGGGGAATTGTTATCATTAATAATAAAGATAAATTGTGTTTACCCCGTGCAATTGTAGTGGCTATGGCCAATGTAACCAAAGACCCCCTTTACAATGCAGTTAGAAAAGATGATGGGAAAAGACAGACTGTTAGGGCTCAGGAACTTGTGTGTCGAGCCAGGGTTGAAATGCCAGAGGGTGGAGCTGGGATCCCGGAACTTGAAAAATTTCAGGGGTTTTTGAGAGACTACAAAATTGTCGTGTACAACTATGACAGGAAAGGACGTGATGTCTACTTTGAGGGAAATGTAGAAAACCCCAAGTTCAAAATTAACTTGATTTTTCACAATGGACACTACAATGTGATTAATTGTTTGACTGCTGCTTTTGTTTGTAATTATTTCTGTGAAGCCTGTCATGTACCCTAATACCATAAAAGAGAGCATCGTTGCTCAAACATTTGCCCACAGTGTCAAACTATCTCACCTCCTTGTGTAGTGGAGAGTGGTGGTGTTCTGTGCCCTAAATGTAACATGACTTATAAAAATCAGAGATGTTTTATCGCGCATCAAGCTGATAGATGTAAAAATGTAAAAAAGTGTCTAGACTGTGGGAAATTGGTTTGGATTAGAGATCGGTCTAAGCCTCATAAATGTGGTGAAGTATATTGCAAACCTTGCTGTTCATTTGAAGACCCTAACCACAAATGCTATATGAAACCAGACACAAGAGAGCCTAAATCCAAAAACTTTTTGTTTATTTTCTTTGACTTGGAAACCCGTCAAGATGAGTCCCTGCCCTCAGATCCCGAGTCTAAATTGCATCAAGTGAACTTGTGTGTGTCACAACAGTTTTGCTATCAGTGTATTGAGGCTAAATTTTGTATGGCTTGTAAAAATCGTACGCGAGTGTTTAGTTCTGAACCAATCACTCAGTTCATGGACTATGTGATGCAAGTCCGTAAAAATTTTAAAGATGTCTGTGTCATCGCACACAATGGGCAGGGCTTTGATTTCCAGTTTTTGCTCAAGTATGTGCTGGAGGATACGAAGTTCACTCCGAAACTTGTAATGCGGGGAACTAAGGTAATTTTGATGGAGATTGACAATGTGAGGTTTGTTGATTCACTTAGTTATTTCCCTATGCCTCTTGCTGCACTACCTAAAGCCTTTGACCTTCCCCCGGAAAAGAAGAAAGGCTATTTTCCCCACCTCTTCAACACCCTTAAGAATCAAAATTATGTGGGTCCTATGCCGGCAAAGGAGTTTTACTGCCCAGAATCTATGTTTGAAAAATCACACAAAGATTTTGAAAGATGGTATAATGATCAGGTTGGAAACCACGTTACATTTGATTTTAAGAAAGAAATCCTAGAGTATTGTATGTCGGACGTTGATATCTTGGCTCAAGCTTGTTTAAAGTTCCGTTCAATTTTCCTGCAAGAGTGTAATGTGGACCCGTTTCTCGAGGCTGTAACCATTGCCAGTGCTTGTAACTTGGCCTTCCGTCGGAAATTTTTGAAGAAAAATACCATCGGCATCGTTCCTAAAAATGGCTATAGGCTTACAGACGCCCAATCGGCAATCGCGTTACAGTGGCTAACGTGGGAAGAGGAGAAACGTGGAGTTAGAATAGAACACGCCGGCCGTGGAAAAGAAGTTAAGATTAGTGGAATGAAAGTTGATGGTTTTGACGGTCAAAATATTTATGAATTTCAAGGCTGCTACTGGCATGGCTGCCCTAAATGCTTTCCCTATGATCGTGAACTTGCTTTGAAAGAGGATCCCTCTGACTCACTCCATTTGCGGTATGAACGGACCAAATCGAAAATAGCAAAGTTGGGTGATAACGTTGTACAAATGTGGGAATGTGAGTTTAGAAAGTTAAAAAAGACAGAAAACCTGAAACACCTAGAAAAGTTGCCGATCCTCAACAATTTACCTCTGAATCCGAGGCAAGCATTTTTTGGGGGCCGAACCGGGAATGCCAAAACCTATCACAAATGCGCCGAAGGGGAAACCATTGAGTATGTGGATGTATGCTCTCTCTATCCCTGGGTATGTAAATACGGCAAGTACCCTGTAGGCCATCCAACGATCTATGTAGGAGACAAAGAGTGTAGACAGAGAGGTCTCAATGTTGAGGGTCTATTAAAGTGTAAAGTACTTCCACCTCGTGAGCTCTATCACCCCGTTCTCCTAGCCAAAATGAATGACAAGTTAATGTTTGTTTTGTGTGCGACTTGTGGAGATGGTCAGATTCAAACTGATTGCGACCACGAAAGTGGTGACAGAGCACTTATTGGGACCTGGACCATGGACGAAGTTCGTAAAGCTGTAGAAAAGGGTTATGTTGTGCTTGACATGTATGAACTTTGGGAGTATAAGGTAGACACATATGAAAACGGGGGATTGTTCACTGACTTTATAAATAAATTTTAAAAAATGAAACAGGAAGCAACTGGGTTCCCTAGTTGGTGTGAAACCGAGGAAGATAAGGATCAGTACGTTGACGATTATTTTAAAAAAGAGGGTGTCCAACTGGAAAAAGACCAAATTATCAAGAATGGTGGATTGAGGTCGTTAGCTAAACTGATGTTGAACTCTTTTTGGGGAAAATTTGGACAGCGTGAAAATCAGACCAAAGCTACAATCGTCAGGCACCCTAAAACACTTTTCAAAATGTTAACTAGCCCTGAAATAGATGTAAATAGAGTACAGATTGTCAATGATAAGGTTCTTGTTGTCAGCTGGGAGTATATTGAGGAGGTTGGGGAGCCATTGCAAAATGTAAATGTTGTGTTGGCAGCTTACACCACAGCCCAAGCGAGATTGAAGCTCTATGAGCATCTAGATGCCCTGGGTGGTCAGGTATTGTATTATGATACTGATTCTGTACTATATGTATATAAGGGTGGTTTGTACAGAGTCCCCACGGGAGATTATCTAGGGGAAATGACCGATGAGTTGGCCGAGTACGGCCCTGGATCATATATAGTAGAGTTTGTTTTTGGAGGTCCGAAAACCTATGCATACCTTGTGTGGTCAACAAACAAACAAAAATTGATTCCCGTATGTAAAGTAAAAGGGCTTACATTAAACATGAAAACTTCTAAAAAGATTGGATTTGACAGTTTGAAAGAGATGGTCCTTGGTGATGCTGCACAAACAATGGACATTGAGGAAAATAGAATCAGACGAACAAAGAATAGGAACATAGTTACAATCAGTGAAGTCAAACAGTTTAAAATTACGGGACCAAAGAGGAAACATAGTAGCAATTATGATACACTTCCATATGGGTTTAAAATTCAAAAAACTCACCAAAATCTCAACTCCTAAATCATCACTATCACTCAAGTACTCCCAGTCCCCAACATCCACCTCGTTCCAGCCATTCCACCCTCCTTGCTACCAATTAAACCCAAATACCGAATCTGTGTCTTCGTCTTCTTTTTCTTCGCTTAAATTTAAAAATTAACAAATCCTACACCATAAATAATTTTGAATGAAATCATTTACAACCAACACTAGAGAGATCATGTTGGACACTGAACACATGTTGCACATGCTGCACATGTGTAGCGCTCCCCTCTCCACTATCGCTACATACCTTAATGGCGGCATACGCAGTTTTTCTTGGCGGTAACGGTGGTGGCCTTAGATCCAGGGGTTGAAGTTCTTCGTATATTGGCTCCACCGGCTCGCGTTTGATGGAAAACACCCACCCGAAACATGATGCGAAGCACATGGTGACTGAGATCCAACTGGAGTGGGGCTATTTTTAAATCTGTTTGTACATTGAGGCGCTCAAATCTGGAGGGACTTGGGCTACTCCTTGTGCATGTGTGAATGCTATTGGTCACTGGCGCGGCCGACTAAAAAGCCCGTAAACCATGAGTGAATGTTGGTCACTGGCACGGCTGACTAAAAAGCCTGTAAACCATGTGTGAAGGTCACTGGCGCGGCTGACTAAAAGGCCCGTAAACCACGTGTGGAGGGGTAAGTGTCATTCCACTTGGAACCTTTACACCACCATGTTGTACCTACTCGAGTTTTCAGCTAGAACGATTACTGATAATCTGTTTCTTTTAAATACTGTAAAGCAAGCAGCAATCCCACCTATGATTAAAGATTAAATATTCAATTACCACCATGAAAACTGCGGCTATGTCTACTACCATATTTGTTTTTTCGACAATGAAGAGTTTTGTAAGGATTTTGGAGAGGCAGCGAATATTTCTTTCCGATGGTTTGGAACGATTGTATGTGTACCAAAATTTAAAACTCCAAGAGATAGATGCACCGTTTGTGCAGCACGTCTATACAAATGGACCAGATTGAGATGTTCCTGTTTACAATCCATGATCCCATCCTTGAGAAGGTGGTAAGAGACGTTTTGGGGGAACGGAGACGGCAACTAGTTTGTTTTTGGAGGCCGTCACGAGCTGTTGCGGTGGAGGGGCCGCAGCTTTTCTGGGGGCAAATAAAAAGATAGTCTATTCTATTTGGAACATTCTTACCATCATGTTGTCCCTGTCCGAGCTTCCAATTAGAAAGATTTACACAACCGTCATCCTTTTACTTTATGTAAAAGAAAGTGTTGATCTTCCATCAACGCTATGGCAGGACATTTTGAACTATCATAAAGAAAACTGTGGTTATGTAACCCTAAAATACTACGAGTCTTTTCGAGGCTCTAGTAGGTTATGTATTGACTGTGGAAGAATGGTTGATCTTCCTTCTCACTTAAGGCGAAGAGACATATAAGGCGATACATGTATCCAAAGTTTAAGGTACCAAAAGAAACATGCCGCATTTGCATGGCTCCTTTATTTATCTTCCATAAAGTCACTTGTAAATATTGTAAAATCTAAATGTAAAAATAAGAATAATAAACGGAGATGGCAACTAGTTCGTTTTTGGAGGCCATCACGAGCTGTTGCGGTGGAGGGGCCGCAGCATTTCTAAAAACTTAATAAGTTATCAATACACTGTTAAGTTGTATCATTTTAACAATGGATGTCAGACGTGCTATAGCTGAAGAGCTACACAAACCTGCTAGAAAGAATTACACTAGACGGAAAGTGACTCTTAAAGGGTTGAATGATTTGTACCAGGCCGATCTCGTAGAGATGCAGCCTTATGCAAAGTTAAATAAAGGTAATCGGTACATAATGACTATGATTAACTGTTTTTCAAAATTCGGTTTTGCAGTCCCGTTAAAAGATAAGACAGGTCCAGCAGTTGCCAAGGCACTTGAACCTATATTGATCAAACATAAGATGAAACACTTTCAAACCGATCAGGGAACCGAATGGTTTAATAAACATATTGGTGCTCTCATGAAAAAGTATAGAATTAACCATTATTCTACGTTTTCCGATTTAAAAGCTAGTATCGTGGAGAGATTTAACAGAACTTTGAAACAGTGGATGTGGAAAGAGTTTACCGCTAAGGGAACATATGAATGGTTATCATTACTTCCTGATATTCTCAAGCGATACAATAACTCAGTACATAGAACAATTGGTATGAAACCAAAAGATGTGAAACAAAAGAATGTAAAGGAAATATTAAAAAGGATAAACAAGAGGGGAAAAAGGGTGGCACCAAAATATAAACTGGGAGATAGTGTTAGGATAAGCAAGTATAAAAGAGTTTTCACTAAAGGCTATCTGCCAAACTGGACAAACGAGGTTTTCACCATTTACGCAATCAAACCGACAAAACCACCTACATATGTACTCAAAGACCATAATGGTGAAATACTAAAGGGAGGGTTTTATGAACAAGAGCTAAATAAATCAAAGACCGGAAATGTATATTTAGTTGAAAGAGTGTTACAACGGAAAGGAGATAAAATAAAAGTCAGATGGCTTGGCTTTGACAAGAAAAGTGACACGTGGCTTAGTAAAAGCGACATTCTTATTTAGAACATACATCCGGTGACGGCTACATGTAGATCAAGCAGCTGCATCCGGTCGTATTTATAAACGATAGGGTGAGTGTGCTACAATCAGTTGAACACGATGGGTGTGGCGCAGCAGAGCCCCCCTTTGACGTTAAGAAACTATGACAAGTATTTTGGCGAGGGTCTGGCATCTAAAAATAAACACGGCCATCTGTTACTAGACTTAATTTGCTGCTCCTTTCAGTCCCCAGCAACTCGGGTAAAACTAATATTGTGTTTAATTTATTATTCGATTCAAATGGTCTTCTTTTTAAAAATATCTACATTTTTGAAAATCCCTTAATCAGTCTAAATACCAGTTTTTACCGTTGGCTCTGCCTAAGGAAATGGGCCATTTTGCATATGGTGACAACAACTTGGTAGTTCATCCAAGTAAGACTAAACAGCATTCAAAAATGATATTTGATGATATATACTGTGAGAAACACGACAAATAATAAATAAATTATATAAATAAATTGGCTCAAAATTATTTTCAAACCACCTTATAGTACTGTATTACAAATTTAAATGATAAAATGCAAAGAACCGCTCGCTGGGATTCAAAAAAGGGTTAATTAATAGGCTTCACCAAGTAAATAACCCATTACATTAGTCAAAGGACAAAAAAAGTGGGAGGTGGCAAATCTGTTATGGAGTGGCCATCACCGTAGGCTGCGGTGGTTGGGGCAGCCTACCCCAGAGGTTAGGACTCTTGGTGAAGCTCTGGGTTAACAAAAAGAACGCGCCGGGACCCTACGGCCTAGCCTAACAGCTTACCGTGGTGTGGAAACTGGGTCACTTGTCTAAACTCCAAAGAACAGGTAGAATCTCTCCACAAACGAAACATTTGAGTTTGTCAAAGTCCAGATCACGGATATTTGTAACAAACCAGCAGCATCATCAATAAAAAATGAATTACACACTCTAGATCAAATAAATTTATCGAATATTGGTTTTTTCTTTATTTTTTGACGTTTTAAGCTTCAATTTTGAAGTTGCAAAAATACTAATTATATAATTTAAATGAACATTTTTGTAATGTCACTCTTCTTCATATTTAATCACAAATCCTTCCATCTTCAGTTTATTCACTCACAATAAATCATTAGCAAAACTAAGTCAGCTGTTATAAACTTTAGAAATATTGTTGTGCCTTATCAATCGTCTTTTGAGATATTAAAGAAACTATATCTAGGCCCTATGCTATAAAAAAACTTTAAACAAATATAATTTACATTAAAGACAGCAGACAAAATGATTACCAATGAATACAATTCAAAGGTAATTGCATTACAATCGGCTAACTAATATTACAGGTAGAGGAATTTACAAAATCAGTTAATAGCTTACCTGTTGCATTCCTCCCTGAATATTGTTGTTAACGGGACTCTTTCGACTTTGCATCGATCTAAAATACACTGCCTCAGCTTTACACTTTCTTCGTAAATCATATCCGGTTCACATCCGTCCGAGTGCGTTGCAGTTG